AACAATCAAAAATTGATTTTGGCCTGGAAACGAGCACCATTGTCCAAGGGGCTTAACGGAAGGCAACACCTTATGGCGCCGCCTGCATTTGATTGCGTTGGGGGATGTGACAGCACTATTTATGTCTTTTCCAATTGCAATTTTCCGTAGTGTGCATACAGAACAAGGATGACGACGAGAACAGTGTTGCCTGAAAAAAGTATGAACTTGCCACCGATGCGAACACGGCGCGCGTGTACTTTTAGGGTTTACGGTATTTGTTTCATGCCAGTATAGCCGAAATTCTCGTTGAACAGTCTTTCAAGCCAGGCTCAAAAGATGCGACCGAATATCGACTTCGAAACGATGCGTTGCGGAATTTTACACCCAGGATAGCTGCTTTAAAAGTAAACGTTTTCGCTTGAAATTCATCGTACTGCGGTCCATAATACAGACTGCATTCCACCAACCTTCGAATACAGCCATCATAAAAAACATGGAACACGAGAGAGAAGTCAACTAACAGGACTTAAAAGTCAGCAGGCGGCAAGTTCGAAACATTCATTCGCTTTTCTTGATCCGCAAGCAGCCACTGCTTACGTTGGCACATCACAAAAGGCACGCGGTAGAAATGTGCATTTCCAGAGCAAGTAATCGTTCCCAAGCAGCAGCCTTATAGTAGTATCTTTTGCAGGATATTCAAATTTAGGCAGCCGCCAATTAAGCTCCATTGCTCAACGATCCATACTAGAGCTGATTTATTCTAAGAAATTGAGCAGAATACGCCTTAACTTTGCTTCCTTTTAACCAATTGCACGAATATGGCAACGACTGATTCACTTTTCACAGATGAAAAAATGATAGCCTCCAGCGACGCACGAAAAGTCATCAGATCTTGATTTCACATTCAAAATAAATGTCACAAAGTAGGTTGAGATGGCACTCTTCGTCACGGCGTTGCCTGGGGTCACCCTGCAGCGACTCACGTTGACGCAACGCCATGCACACTCACAGATGCATATGCCGTGACGCCGTCGGTGTATCCTTGACATGACACAGTCTGACACAGTCAGAAATAGTACTGATTTGCTGTATTCGTAAAAGGATCGTACTTTATTCCTGCGTTTCCTTTTTTGCACTTTAAACGGTTGGCTCCCTTCTAAAGCTTCGGACTCCTGCGATCCTTCAGACTCCTCCGAATCGCCATTCATGCCGCCCATTCCACATACGTGCTTCCAAAGAGCATCCAAATTTATAAACAATGCGTTCACTTAGGAAATAACTTCACGCAATTTCATTGTTTAACTTCAGATTGCTGCAGGAACCAGGAGGCATTCCGGCGCTCCTGCAGTGAGGTAGCGTAGTTGGCCAGCTGCACTCAAAGCAAGTTTCTGTAGTTTTATTACTGAAAAAATTGCCATATTTTCTCATCTTTCATTTTACGTCTGAAAGTATAGATCATAACTGAGCAAGACAGTTGTGGGCTTAGCGAGCAGGTCTGCCAACGGAACTCTGCTGGGTATCTTGATGAACAGCCATTATAATTCGCGAACGTCATTTCGACGCCAACATTTACACTCTTCCGTCTTCTTTTGGCTTGCTCATACAAGTGCACAAGCACCTAAACACACTTTATGAACAAAGGCAGCTGGGGGAAAAAAGACAAGCATAAGGTGAAAGGGTGCTCGCATGGAAAAGTGCTCGAAGGAATGATGTGCATTGTGGCCCTCCAATGGTCCCGTGTAGCCCGTTGGCAAAATGTCGTGCAGGTCTCAAGCAGTGCCGTTCGTTCGCGTCCTCCTGTAATCGTCGGGACCTGTAACTGCTGTTTTTGCCGATGGTTCAAAGAACCACATGAGTTTCCCAATAACTGTCCCACCAAAATCTCTCCTTTTATCAACAGATTCGCCATTGCGAGAAACGTTTTTTCCCTCTCCTATGTGACGGTCATATGTGTCAATAGCGCACGTAAAAAGCCATGCACCATGAGGCGCTATTGGGTGCTCTCCTTTGCGTGATTACATAGCGCGTTTCACGGTGTGTGCCACTTTATCTGCAGGCAAATATTTCAAAGTAAGCCTCAGAGCTTTTGCGGTTAGCAAGAACTTTCAATGTATCAGCAACGCAATTACCGGCGATGTTTTCCTCCTCTGTGTATGCACTTGTTTTCCACGTGATTGAATGGCTTTCTTTCGCACACTGTTTTCCAAGAAAAGACGGCAGCCACTATTAGCTCAAAAAATCAAAGAGCAGGCCCCATATGCTACACTGTAGCGTACTTAACTCATGATGCGTCGAGCCGTGAACGGGACTCGGCAGGTGTGGTGAAGAACCCCGCTGTCGGTCCTTGAAATTTTTTACTGGCTTACAGAGCTGCTATTTTCTCCTTTGTCAGACATTTTACGCCCACGGGGTCCCCTATTTTCGTTTGTCCACTGAGCTTTTAGGTATCTGTGGCACTGCAGAAGCGCAAAAGCGACTGCCATTCCTATGAAGATAACGGCAACATTGAGGAGAAAAGACACAGCAGATCGGCGAGGCTTGTTGAAAACAGTCAAAATATTCCGTTTTTGCACAATTAATTCACTCTGAGGGAGGTCAGCCTCAACTGTAAGGGTGGCTGCGCCCCCTGCTTGGAAGAACCCATGTTCTCGAACACCAACGAGAAAGCAGGTGAAGGATATTAGGAGCCAGTAGCCCATCTTGGAAAACGAAACGCGAAACACAACAGTGTAGGAAATTAGTTGTTGTATTTCGATCATGCGTTTCAGTGCATTCTGTGAGCTGTTCTTCAGTGTGCTTGGGGCTCGTGTTCCCGCTGTGGTGTGCTACAGACCAGCCGGAGCGATGAAGGGCTCATGTCCTACCAGCTCCGCATTCCCGAGGTACTAAAACCGTCAATGTCGCTTTAAGATAAAGTTTCAGTAATCTAGGGTTGTAACGGACAGTAGTATACGTAGACACCTTGGCAATATTAGTCGATACCTTCCAATTGAGATAGCACTAGGTCTGCACGCAGAGCACTATCGAGTTCCAATTCACACGCGCAACTTGCTCAGTTGTTTGGCAAGGTCTGTCTATTGCTGAATATAGTGCTGTATTAATTAGTTTCTTACCTTTGAATACATATTATGGGTTGGCATGCTCATGTTTGATTCGTGAACCCTGACCACTGCAACGCGTGCAGGAACGTCGGTGACTCGGCGAAGGCCACACCGTCTGTACACTTGCGGAAAGCAGCGTGAGTCGATTGCATGAGCATTCACAAACTCGAAATTCAGTTTTCGGCTGCCTTTAATTAGCCTTACCAGCTCAGTGGTTTCATCTGTCCGCTTGAAACGACGCCTATAATTTTGACATGCCCTGCCTTAGTCTACAGCTGCGTTGAACTCCGTGGTGGAAAGCTTTGGTCTAACGAGAGCACTTCCAAGGTACTAATCTGAGACGCTGATGGGAAATCTTGAGTGCTAGTGGCAATGTTCAACTTCTTTCGCGTTGTCTTTTTTACATCACCTCAACTGACGAGACGTGCGCTAAGGAGCCGAATACAATGTGCAGCGCGACAGCGTGTTCCGCACAAAAAGCCCTCAGATACTATATAGTTCAATACCAGTACAATTGATGTAAAACCAAAAAAGCTAAGCAATTAAAATTAGCTGCATACTAGGTTACTTCTAGGATCCTTTGCAGCTAATCCCGGGTTTCTCTAGCTGGCAGAAAACGACCTCCAGAGGTTATATAGTTCAGTCCTAGAACGATTTATGTGTGACTAGAAAAATCAAACGTAGAAATTCAGTATAATAGGAGTTTGGTCCTAGGCTTCACTGCAACTTATCCCCTGCTATTGTGGCCGGCAGTTTAACGGCCTTTAAAGGTTAATTGGCCCAATACAAGAACGATTAATGAAAGACTAAAAAGACCACACAAAGAAACCTACTTTCATAGCAGGTTGGAGATAGGCTTCCCTGCAGCTTACCCCAGGCTTTGTAGTGTGCAGTTTTAGAGTGGTGGTGCCAATGCGCATGAGGACAGCCAGAGAAGGGAACAGTAAACTTTCCTAACTAAGGAGGACGCTTTATTGTATTGAATTTATGTTTCTTTTCATTTAGTGAGTAGAGGAAGGTATGTATTTTCGTAATCAGCTATGGAACGTTATGTGAGAGCCAAACTGCGGTTAGCTCGCTTATCAAAGTAATTGCGCGGCTATTGTGCACCCGCGCAACGCGCTGATGGCCGGTGCATAGGACTCCCCGCCTCACAGAATGTTGCGTGTATGAGGACAATCGAGCAACGCTGACGATGGCTGTAGTGCGCAAGCACTACAATAGGGCTCGCCGTCAAGAGTATACGTAGTACACTGCGTTCTCTGCAGCGTCTACGATGCTGCAGTGCCCAGAACTCGGGCGTCCTAAGAAATATTCTCTACTACCGACGCATCGGTCGCGTGACGTCTACAAATGTATTGAAAAGACCGTTTTGTTTCGAGTTCCCAAACCCATATTTTCATTAAAATCCTTTCGTCTTGTTCTTGCTCTGCTGGTCCGGTGGAGGCGTTGTTGGCAGCCCCAATCTTAGAGCATTCGCAGGCATTTCTAGTCTATACATGTTAATTGCATTTCTATTCCACTAGCAAGAGGTTACAGCGCTCAATCCGCGTCTCAAACTCTTAACCGCCTATAGGTCATCAGTTAGCTATCCTCTATAGATCACCAGCAAGCCCCATTGTAGTGCCTGCGCACTACAACTCCCCCCTTCCCGGAGTGAACCCGCCTACCTACAGCATATTAATTCTGCCTCATTAGTCTTTATTCCCTTCTGAAGCTAATGCCATGAGAGCATGCGGTACGCAGCGCTTCCTCCCCCAACTCGTCATTGAAGGCCGTCGTGTGGCGGCAGTTGACAGACCCAAACCGGTACGCCTCGAAAAAAGCAAGAATGTTCCGAGCCTGAAAACGTCTTCTCTGAAGGCGATGCCAAGCGCGGAGCAAAGCCTGGCATCCTGTTAGGTGGTAAGCGGGCTCCTACGTGGCTTGATCTTCGCGGGTGCCGCGCCACTTGACGAGATACTGGGCGTCTCCGCTTGAGCCGCGTTGGTCCATTATATAATCGGCTTCATACTCCTCTGTCGGAGTGCCTGCCACATCGCGGATGGGGGCCCGGGCGGTGTCGGCTTCCTGGGGAACCAAGTCTGAAGGGCGGGAACTAGCTGCGAAACATGAAAAACGTTGTGGCATTCATACGTAGGAGGCAAAGCAAGACAGTAAGCGACGATGCCTATTCGTTCAATGATTTCAAAGGGTCCTCGGTAACGGGGCTCGAACTTAGGGCAGCTAGATGACGCCGGCAGATGCTTGCTACTGAGCCAAACCTTGTCTCCCACTGCATACTCCACAGCTCGGCGCTTTGTGTCTGCGTAATATTTCTGCTGCCCCTTTGCCTTCAGGATGTGGCTCTGCGCTCTGTCGTAGAGCTCCCGGAAAGGTTTAGTCATCAGAGGAGTGACCGTGAGGGCTAACGCGCCTACGATATCAAAATTCGCAGCAGTCAGCGGATTCTCGCCGATCATGACCTCGAAGGGAGAGAGCTCGGTGGATGAATGGCTTGTCGTGTTGTAAACAAGTTCCAGGGCCGGAAGCAAACGCTCCCACTCGCGTTCGTCAGGTTGGAAGTAGGTACGAAGCTTCTGCTCCAGTGTGCGGTTAACTCTTTCAGTTTGGCCGTCGCTTTGCGGATGGTAGGACGAGGACATGGCGCGTTTGTTAAAGCGGTGACATAGTTGTTGCCAGAGGTCCGCCTGAAAGGGGGGGTCGCGGTCCGATATGAGTTTCTCTGAAAATCCGTGGTAGCGGATAAGACGGTCTGCGAGAAGTTCCACAGTGTCTGCTGCTGTGAATGACTTCTTTGCAAGAACGATATGAGCCATCTTGCTGCGAGAAGTTCCACAGTGTCTGCTGCTGTGAATGACTTCTTTGCAAGAACGAAATGAGCCATCTTGCCGAGGGAGTCGACCATCACGAGAAACGAGTTATGCCCTGTCGTGGTAAGGGGAAAATCCGTGATAAAATTGAGGCTCACGTGCGCCCATCGACGAGAAGGGATGAGCAGCTGTTGAAGAAGGCCTGCAGGTTTCTGGTTAATAGACTTTGACGCTCGACAGTGGGTACATGACTCAACATAAGCAGTAGTGTAGGCGCGCATTCCTGGCCAGTAGTAGTGCTTGCTGAGACGGCGCTTCCAGAAGAAGACCGGAGCTACCGGCCGACACTGTACCAGCACTACGCTTACGTTTTGCACTCATTCCTTGAGTCCCTTGACACCCTGCGTCTACGCGGTGTCAGGTACTTGCGCCTACACGTCCATTCCGAGATGCATCGCTTTCCATTTAACCGCGAATGTTTTGAGCTAAAGCATAGCTTCTCCTGGGTGGTTTGGCATAGCTTCTCCTGGGGGGTTTGCTGCGGCGTTGTAGGGATCGCGAAAAACAGGACACTTCGAGTAAGCTTGCGGCCAATGGCGCACATTGGGAGGGTCAGCGGGTGGCTTCGTTGGGAGTGTAGGAGGTTCCGGCTCTGGGTTGGGTTCCGGCGGCGCAGGGGAAGGCGCAGACAGCGTGCTGCGTCATCGAGGGCGTCGCGGACGAATTCCGGCGAGCTCTCGGTAGTTGGAAGGCGGACCACGAGAGCGGGGAGCCGAGCTCGCTTGTCCTGTTGCGAGCATCAGCGGTACCGATGGTGTGTCGTGCGAGCAGGTGTTAGGGAGGCCGGGACGGCGAGACAAGGCGTCGGCAACTTGATTGCGCGCTCCCTGAACATACGTGATGTGCAAATCCAGGAACTCCGCAAAGAAGTCTAGCCACTGGGCGGTGCGTCCGCGCAGAGGCTTCGATGCTTGGAGTCGTTGGAGATGGGTTAGAGCTTGATGATCAGTGTAAGCCGTTACCTTGGAGACACGGAGCAAGGGCGACCACTTGTCCAGCGCCGTGACCAACGCCAAGAGTTCCTTATCGTAGATCGAATATCTCTGTTGCGTGGGGCTCATGGCTTGGCTGAGGAAGCCGATGGGTTTACCGTCTTGTTCGAGAACTGCTCCGAGTGCATAACCAGAGGCATCTGTGTACAACTCGAAGGGTTTCGTCGTGTCAGGGACTTGTAAGGTAG